CCAACCGTCTCTCTCTCTCTCTCTCTCTCTCTCTCTCTCTCTCTCTCTCTCTCTCTCTCTCTCTCTCTACTTCTCTTTCCCTTACCTTCTGTTCTCTCTCGCGTGCCCTCTATCCCTCTCTTGTTCGCTCTCTTACTCTTTCTCCAAGGTTTTTCTCTCCATTATCATCTTCCTTCCTCTTCATCGTCATTTGTTGGCATAGCTAGGCCTTCCTCGTTTTTCCCTGGTTCTCTCTCCCTTTGCCGTTTCTCCGACTATCTTTTATTTTTATTTTCTTTCGCCTCCCCCATCTCATTTTCTCTTTCCTTCTTCCGCGTCCACATTTTCTATTTTCGCCATCGCTTCTCCTTCCGCATTATCTCTTTCTCTTCCTTTATTTGCCTTCCTTCGCATTTCACTATATTAGGAATCAACATTAAGCATTAATAAAATCTTTTTATAACGTCAGTGTGGTACAGATATTCGCTCATGGTTCGCAGGTTTAATAGATCCGGCAGCAGTAGGTCATTGATTGAAGCCATTCTATTGAGCTCATGATTTATGTATTCCATCACCATTTATCGACCGTCGGACCAACGTGAATGTACGTATACGTGCGCCCGCCGTACATATAGGTCTAACACAATAACACACTAGCTGTGCTCGCATGTTTACGTGTATACATATAATACACTAGGTAATCGCCCTATACACATTTATATCTACATATACAGATATAATACACTACCTATACTCTTTATACACTTATATGTTTATATATTATGCACTAGATTAAATGCATTATTTCTATAAAATACTGCAAATACGCTTAATAAAGGTGGGGTATAACAGCAGTCCATTTCATGTATGACACATATGTGTTGTGTTACCTGAGGCTGGACTCTCTGTGATTATTAAAGAGAGACATTGGGATTCATGTTTAATGTCAAGCTACAGCGACGTGTATTTATGCTTAATCTTCAACGTATAATTTTCAAAAAAATATTGTTTTATTTCGGAGATACTGCGCAGGCGCGAACAGAAATCTGTTATTCTGCTGAGCAATTTGGCACGACTAGGCGCTCAATGATTGTCATAGCAACTAATGTATCATACTCTGCATCTGCCTATGACTGGTTGTATTACTGAAGTAAATGTTTACCTCCTGCAATATACGAATTCATTCATTTGATAAAAGCTGGCTGTACATTTGTATGTGTGATGTTATACACATATCGCCACCTATTGGCGGAATTAAATTTAATTGAGTGTGTTGGTTATCTATGCGTAGACCACTGAGGCTGATAGGGTCTATGTCCCCCAGGGTACTGCCGGAACGTACCCTGGGTACGGTCCGGTATACCAGAACGTACCCTGGTAACTATCTGATATACCGGACCGTACCTTGCTTACTCCCTACCGTACCAGTACAGTAGGTGTATATAATAACATCAAGAGTGGATAATAAAGATTATTTTATCTCTATTATATTATTATCTCTATATATTATTATATTATTATATTATTATTATATTATTAAATTATATATCTATTATCCACTCCTGATAACATGTTGTTATATGCAGCTCAGTGGTGTACACATGGAAATAGAAATTCTTCTTCTTTTCGGGTAACAACATTACACTCGACCTAGCCACTGCAGCGCACAGGACCTGACACGGTGGTTGAAGGCCTCAAGGTATACAGGGCTTTAGCAATAGGGGGCATTCTAGGAGAGGTCTTACCCGCAGTCACATTTGATTGGGCCATTATAGAAAGTATAACTTGAGTATTATTTACATACTTGTAGAATGTAGACATAGGAATGTACAGAGAGCATAGCTAGTGTATTATATCTGCACATGTAGACATATAAGTGCATAGAGTGATGAACTAGTGTATGTATACGTGTAGACATGCGAGCATAGCTAGTGTATTATATTTCGATGTGTATATAGACCTATATGTACGGCGGGCGCACCTATACGTACATTCGTTGGTCCGACGGTCGATAGATTGTGAACAAATACGTCAATCATGAGCTCAATAGAATGGCTTCAATCAATGATCTACTGCTGCCGGATCTATTAAACCTGCGAACCATGAGCGAGAATATGTGGTAATAGTAGGCAATTAATATGAATGTGTGTGTGTGTGTGTGTTGTGTGTGTGTGTGTGTGTGTGGTGTTGTGGTGCGGGCGTGTGCGTAGTGTGCGTGCGGCTGTGCGTGGCGCGTGTAAATCGCGTGCGCATGTGCGCGTGTTGTGTTCGCGCGCATGGTGTGTGTGTGTGTGTGTGTGTGTGGTGGTGGTGTGTGTGTTTGTGTGTGTGTGTTCCGCGCATGTTGTATGTGTGTGTTGGGTGTGGGTGTGTGTGTGTGTTGTTGGTGTGTTTGTGCCGCGCGTGTGTGTGTGTGGTGAGAGTGTGCGGCGCTGCGTGTGCGTGTGTGGTGTGGTGTGTAGTGTGTGCATGGGTCGTGGTGTGCGCGCGCCACTGTGTGGGTGTGTTGTGTTCGTGCGTGCGTGCGCGTGCGTGTGTCTGCATGTGTGCGTTGCTGTGAAAGGCCTATAGGCGTGCATTCACCCGCGTGATAAACACACTCTATAACAATAGATATGGCATATAATAAATAATAACGAATGGACGATGCACAGATTAAATTACAAATAAACACACGCTGTTAATAGTGCTATGGTGCTCACGCTCACATCTGCTTTACGCTTCATCAACGAACATAACATTGTCGAAGCCAAACATCAATATCGACCTCATAACATGTGCAGCATAACATGTGCAGCAGAAATGACATATACGTGGTGGTACACACCGGCATATAATATATATATATATATAATAAACTCAGGGCCGTAGCCTGCCGGGGGGGGGGGGGCAAGGGGGCAGTTGCCCCTAGATTTAGAATAAAATTAAAAAATAAATGTTCTCCTAAAAGAGATTGTCGAGTCAGAATGAAGGCATGTACTCAAAAGTGTCTCAAATACTCATCTCCTGCGAATCTACATATTCAACATTTCTGTGGGGGGACTCGCAGATCCCCCACCTATCTCTCACCGCCTCCTGAAAATCGTGGATCCGGAACTGCGCACACCCCCCCCCCCCTAAAAATTTGCTCAGCCTACGGCCCTGAATTAATTACATATTAAATAATATATATATATACAATCAAGAGACATATAGAGAGATGTAAGAAATAAATCTCTCGATTATGTACCTTGAATAAAATATATGCAGGCATGCACATATACACTTTCAAAATATTATTATATGTGTAACAACAAATTAAACACCAGAAATATTATAACACATAAACGATAACCAATGGTTTGTGAGTATTAACATGAATAAAACTATACATAGATGTATATATTATATATATATATATATATATATATATATATAATATATATATTATATATGTGTGTGGTAAGATGTGGTGTGTTTGTGTGTTTGTTTGTGTGTGTGTGTGTGTGTGTGTGTGTGTGTGTGTGTGTGTGTGTTTGTTTGTGTGTGTGTGTGTATGTGTGTATGTTCTACTACATAATTAACAATACGAGCATACAGTTATATACACCGCGTACTATATCCCTCCTTTGTGAATTGGTAGCATCTTACATCTTATTAGTAACAACATGACAGTCTTGTCTATATACGCTCGCTCCCCGACACGCGTTCTGTCGCTCATGTAACAACATTGCTTCACAGATTCTGCAAACCGACAACGATGGTCAACATGATACAGTTTTACCTACATAACCTACACAAATTCTAACGAACACATCTGTATAATAACGCAAGAAATAATCTACATTAAAAAAATCTGTCGTATGTTAATTAGCCGTAGAACGCGCACAAGCAGGATAGTAGCGGAAGATATTTCCTTGATTGCTCTATCTGTTGGTATATATTGCTTCTACTATAGCACTGACGCTACGACGCTTGCTACGCACGCGCCGGTGCGGATGGATTGAGCTGGTGGTGGTGCTGGGGGGGGGGGCGGTGTCACACTGCCGTGGCCGCGGCTACATCTACACAGACCGTGATGTAGGTCGCTGCCGCACACACAGGTGTAAGTAACGTTTATCTCTGTACACCTCGATCAGTGCTGCACCACGCACAGACGTAGCAGTGAGAGATCAGGGGGAGGGGTGGGTACGTAGCAGCGGGGTTAGGCAGCTGTGTAACACTGTAACACACGCAATATATTACTCAAATAATTCACAATCTCGTAATTTTAGCATTGTGTACGATGATTGCCAATTTTGATTTCATCGGTTGCTATTGAATTTTACTGAATGCAATTTCGTGGTACGAGATGAGTGAGGCAAACAGCAAATGATTCAGTACATGCAGGCGTAGCAGTGAGAGATCGGGGGAGGGTGAGGGAGAGGTGGGGGCAGCAAGGTTACTCAGCTGTGTAATGTGTGAGAGCGGTCGGACGTTGATGGGGTCATTATCCGCTTGGTGGGGCTTGACGCGGTGCTGCCTACCTGACGAGAGAGGCGGGCGGGTGAAGGAGAGAGGAGGGCAGAGGAGAGTGGAGGACAGGGGGCGAGAGGAGGACAGGAGGAGGGAGAGAGGAGGACAGAGGAGAGAAGAGGGCAGAGGAGAGAGGAGGGCAGAAGAGAGAGGAGGACAGGGGGAGAGAGAAGGACAGGGGGAGGGAGAAGGACAGGGGAGGGAGAGAGGGGAACAGGAGAGGGGGAGGGGAACAGGAGGAAGATATCGTACGCAAATCTAATATAAAACTTTGCACATTGGTTGCACAGGAAATCGATCGCCAAGTGAACACAACGCAAAATTCATAAAACATTTTTACAATCTGGTAATTTTACAATGTGTACCGTGATTAAAGTGATTTCATTGGCAGCTTATAAACTTCAATGAATCCTTTAGTTAATGGTACGAGATAAGGCAAACAGAGAATTCTTCACTTCTTTGCTTTCTAGCAGGCATATGGATTGTGTTCGTCACGCCACCTTCTGGCCACTGATTTCTTCGCTCCGATCCGGAACGTCGTCGTAATCGAGTTGGCCGGACATCGGGGCAGCTTGTCGAACATCCGGGTTCACGTCGAGACGCTTTGCTTAGTAATTCATCTGGTGCAGCCCTGCAAACGACGTGTTACAGAAACGGTGAGAAATTTATAGCGTATATATGTGTGAAGCGGAGACCTGGGCTACATCTCTGGGACGCATATATATATATATATAAACATATATATCTAATATGTTTATATATATGTATAAATGTAGCCTATATATATATATATATATATATATATATATATATATATATATATATATATATATATATATATATATATATATATATATATTATCTAATTAGTATAGCAAACCTTTAGTGAAGTGATTAATAAAATTATCACGTGGTACAATAGTTGTGAATTGTCACCCGCATGCATAAACCCGTCCGTCGGAAGTGACCACATGCTGGTGACGTCACCGTTAGTGAGGACCGGTGACACCGTGCTAAATGCGAGACTGACGTCACTGTGGTGGGTGTGACGTCACGGTGATTCTCGTGAATGAAATTACCCACAACAAGCCAGATGCACGGCAAACAATCGTGCGGTGACGTCATGCGGTGTCGTCATAGTAACTAGCGGGAACGAGCACGTGGTTTGCACGTGACGGTGACGTGATCGTGAGTAAGGGCGAGTGGTTGCAGTTAGAGTGACTGGCAGTCATGCGGTGTGTACGATGCAGTGATTCAGCTGCCGTGCCGGTGCTTAGCTACACCGCACGCGCCAGCAGCAACCTTATCTTCTTGCCTTATTTTATCGTCTGCGACCGTCGTCCTCAACTGCCCGTAACGCCATCTCGTGGAGATCATCAGAGATAAATCGCCTTTAGCGCAAGATACTGCAGCCTGCATGCTCGGATGAACCCAGATATTACATCACAGCCTCGCAACAAATCAGCGACGTGTCTCTTGATGACGTCACACTAGCGTCGCGTCGTGCGCACGGAACGTCGACGACGTCAGCATTGCGCTAGATGACGTCACAAATACGTAACATTTTGGGCGCGCGGCAGTGTGACGTCATGCGTGTCACGTGTCGTACTTCATACTGTGACGGTCACTCATAGGTGCCGGAAATCCGACCACATACAAGCTACTGCGCATGCGTTGCACAGCGCAACAAATAATTTGATATATATATATATATATCATAGATGATGTGAAATATATATAGTAGCCAGTCAAAACGCTATACCTTTTTTCGACATTCTACTTTCGCTACCGCACATATACACACACGTCATACCTTGGTAGAAGCTGTTGTATGTAAAGCCTAGCGCAGACTTGCGACTTTTTCATGCAACTCGGCTGCGATTCTAGAATCGCAGTCGAAATTGCTGTGAAATCGCTATGTCTGTGGGAACGTGCAACTGCAACTCGTAGCGATTCTGGTCGCTTGCAACGAGTTGCAAGAAATCAAACTCTTTTGATTTTAAGCGAATCTTCGCTCCCAATCGCTCCTAAATTGCTATTGAATTGCTTCAAAATCGCATGTGTGCGCAGACGCGGCGACACATCGACCGATTGCTTGCGGTTGCAGGTTGCAGCGACGAGCAACCAAAAGTCGCAAGTCTGCGCTAGACTTAAAGTAGAGTCTCTTTGAGCACGCCTAGAGTGAGCATTTACGATACTTCTCATTGCATTATGAAATTATAAATTAACCTAAGGATGTCATTTGCTGTGATATAAACACGAGCAAGGTGCCAATAATGAACGGTGGTTGTGGGAATATCAAATGTGCCGTACACGGTGAGGTTTGTGTTAATATACAATAATATATAGTATAAGGTAATAAGCATAGCATTTTAATCCCCATTCGCCATGTTGCCATATCCTTGACTCTGTTGGTGTTTATATCCGCTCATCATTGGCTGTTGTCCATACCCCTTCGGCATTGGCTGTTGGTGTCTATATCCCTTCATCATTGGTTGTCCATAGCTTTTCGGCATTGGTTGTCCATACCCCTTAGGCATTGGTTGTCCATACCCCTTCATCATTGGTTGGCCATACCCTTTCATCATTGGTTGTTGTCCATACCCCTTCATCATTGGTTGTCCATACCCCTTCATCATTGGTTGGCCATACCCTTTCGTCATTGGTTGTTGTCCATACCCCTTCATCATTGGTTGTCCATACCCCTTCATCATTGGTTGTCCATACCCCTTCATCATAGGTTGTCCATACCCCTTCGTCATTGGTTGTTGTCTATACCTCTTCATCATTGGTTGTTGTCCATACCCTTTCATCATTGGTTGTTGTCCATACCCCTTCGGCATTGGTTGTCCATACCCTTTCATCATTGGTTGTTGTCCATACCTCTTTGGCATTGGTTGTCCATACCCCTTCATCATTTGTTGTCCATACCCCTTCGGCATTGGCCGTTGTCCATACCCTTTCATCATTGGTTGTTGTCCATACCCCTTCGGATTTGGTTGTCCATACTTCTTCGGCATTGGTTGTCCATACCCCTTCATCATTGGTTGTTGTCCATACCCTTTCATCATTGGCTGTCCATAGCCTTTCGGCATTGGCTGTTGGCCATACCCCTTTGGCATTGGCTGTTGTCCATACCCTTTCATCATTGGTTGTTGTCCATACCCTTTCGGCATTGGTTGTCCATACCCCTTCATCATTGGTTGTCCATACCCCTTCATCATCGGTTTTCCATACCCCTTCATCATTGGTTGTCCATACCCCTTCATCATTGGTTGTCCATATCCCTTCGGCATTGGTTGTCCATGCCCTTTCATCATTGGTTGTCCATACCCTTTCATCATTTGTTGTTGTCCGTACCCCTTCGGCATTGGTTGTCCATAGCCTTTCGGCATTGGTTGTCCATACCCCTTCATCATTGGTTGTTGTCCATACCTCTTTGGCATTGGTTGTCCATACCCTTTCATCATTGGTTGTTGTCCATATTCCTTTGGCATTGGTTGTCCATACCCCTTCATCATTGGTTGTCCATACCCCTTCGGCATTGGTTGTCCATAGCCTTTTTGCATTGGCTGTTGGCCATACCCCTTCGGCATTGGTTGTCCATACCCCTTCATCATTGGTTGTCCATACCCTTTCATCATTGGTTGTTGTCCATACCCCTTCGGCATTGGTTGTCCGTACCCCTTCATCATTGGTTGTCCATACCCCTTCATCATTGGTTGTCCATACCCCTTCGGCATTGGTTGTCCATACCCTTGTGTAGTGCTTTCTGGATATCCGTAGCCTTGTTTAGTCATTTCTGGGTAACCATAGCCTTGTGTAGTCATTTCTGGGTAACCATAGCCTTGTGTAGTCATTTCTGGGTAACCATAGCCTTGCGTAGTCATTTCTGGGTAACCATAGCCTTGTGTAGTCATTTCTGGGTAAGCATAGCCTTGTGTAGTCATTTCTGGGTAACCATAGCCTTGTGTAGTCATTTCTGGGTAACCATAGCCTTGTGTTGTCATTTCTGGGTATCTACCATGCCCCGTGTCGGGAGCCATCGTGATGGCATAGCCACCGCCCCTTCCTTTGCTGCTGCTCGTGCCTGCGAAATACTCGTCAATCAACGTAAATGGGACCCTGCCTCTGCCCCCGTGTCCGGCCCCGCCCCTGCGTCCGCTCCCGCCCCCGCGCCCTCCCCCGCGCCCGTGCCTGCCCCCGCCCCCATACCCCGCGCCCACCCCCTCGCCTGCCCCCGCCCCCGTACTCGCGCCCTCCCCCGCGCCCGCGCCTGCGCCCACGCCCGTCTTCGCGCCCACCCCCACCCCTTCCCCCACTCCCAATCCCGCTCAAGATATCCTGACTAGCAAAGCTATACGTCATCGCCGTGCGAGACCGCCCAAACGTGACCATGTCTGAGACCGTGGGCAGCAGAGCCCCGGCTGACGTCATCAGAGGGTGGCCGTTAGCTGGTGGCGTAGTCGTGGGGTAGGCATCGCCGTAGCGTTGGGGAGTCACGGAAACCTTGCCGTAGCTGTGGCGGAAGGACGCTGGCGTGGAAGTAACGTAGAAGTTGGCTGTAGGTGTGGAAGAATACATACCTGTGGACTGTTGACCATAGCCTTGGTGTTGTTGTTGACCATAGCCTTGGTTCTGTGGCTGACCGTAACCTTGGTGTTGCTGTTGACCGTAGCCTTGGTTTTGTTGTTGATGTTGACCATAGCCCTGCTGGGTTGGTTTACTCTGTTGACCATAGCCCTGGTTCTGTTGTTGACCATAGCCTTGGTGTTGCTTTTGTTGTTGACCGTAGCCTTGTGGGGTTGGTTTGCTCTGTTGACCATAGCCTTGTGGCGCTGGTTTACTCTGTTGACCATATCCTTGGTGATTCTCTTGTTGTTGACCGTAGCCTTGTGGGGCTGGCTGGCTCTGTTGACCATAGTCTTGTGGCGCTGGTTTACTCTGTTGACTATAGCCTTGGTGTTGCTGTTGCTGTTGACCGTAGCCTTGTGGGGCTGGTTGGCTCTGTTGACCGTAGCCTTGTGGGGCTGGTTCGCTCTGTTGACCATAGAATTGTGGTTCTGGTTTACTCTGTTGACCATAGCCTTGTGGTGCTGGTTTACTCTGTTGACCATAGCCTTGTGGGGCTGGTTCGCTCTGTTGACCATAGCCTTGTGGTGCTGGTTTACTCTGTTGACCATAGCCTTGTGGGGCTGGTTCGCTCTGTTGACCATAGCCTTGTGGCGCTGGTTTACTCTGTTGACCATAGCCTTGTGGGGCTGGTTGGCTCTGTTGACCATAGCCTTGTGGGGCTGGTTGGCTCTGTTGACCATAGCCTTGTGGCGCTGGTTTACTCTGTTGACCATAGCCTTGTGGGGCTGGTTCGCTCTGTTGACCATAGCCTTGGGGGGCTGGCTGGCTCTGATGGCCATAGCCTTGGTGTTGTTGTTGACCATAGCTTTGTTGGGCTGGTTGGCTCTGTTGATCATAGCCCTGGTTCTGTTGCTGGCCATAGCCTTGGTTTTGTTGTTGACCGTAGCCTTGATTCTGTTGTTGACCATATCCTCCGGCACCACGTCGACTTCTGTCTGTAATATATTACAGGACATGAGTCTACACGGTAACCAGTTCATAATGGGTAAATCTGCTTCGTAGGTGGCAACTAACGGTAGTACGTTATATGTTAATGTTTATTTTCTATATGACGTCCAATGATTACACTTACGTGACTTTATTATATATTATATTAACGCCTATTTATTAAACTTACCTCTAATATTATAGCCACCACCAGTGGAGCCTCCTCCGTGTCTTCCTCCTCCGTAGCCTCCCCCTCCGTAACCTCCTCCTCCGTGGCCTCTATCTCCGTAACCTCCCCCACCGCCTCGTCCTCCTCCGTAGCCTCCTCCTCCGTAGCCTCCTCCTCCGTAGCCTCCCCCTCCGTGTCTTCCTCTTCTATGTCCTCCTCCTCCGTAGCCTCCTCCTCCATGTCCTCCTCCGTAGCCTCCCCCTCCGTGTCGTCCTCCTCCATGTCCTCCTCTCCCATAACCTCTCACATGACCGAAATGACCTCCCAAAAAGTTATATTTGGGTTTCTTATACAGATGCGGGAAGCGGTCTTCCAGGTCGCCTGGGATGTCCTCCGTGTATCGGCGTTCCCCGGCTGTAAACGGATATCCGCCGTCGTGATAGGAAGCATGCACGACAGCGCACGCCACCTAGTGAACAGACAGCGAAACACTTTTTATTATTATTAAATTTTTATTGCATGTAATTCAGATACAAATACATGTACTGACGACGGGTTTTTTTCATGGAGAAAAAATCGGATAAAAAGCAATAGTGTTGAGTAGTTTGCGGTATTGTTAGAATGGTTGTAAATTATAGAGGAGTTATTATAGAGAGAATCGCCCCACATCGTTCTGATTCTCGTGGACGAATTCCTACAATTCACCTACTGGCTTGGCGAGATCTAACCATAGAAATAATATAAATAGACTATCTATCTATCTATCTATCTATCTATCTATCTATCTATCTATCTATCTATCTA